ATCAAAGTCGATAAACAACAGAACATTGGCCAGTTGATAGAACAATGAGTTTAAAACTGAACTTTGGTTCATCCCCAAAAACCAGGTTGTGAATGATCTTCTTGCTCCTGTCGGAAGAAAGATCAGTTTGATCGCTGATAAAGAAATGGCAGACCAGTAGAGCAATGAACCAGGACCACAGAGAGCACATTGTGTGCACAGTCTAGAACACACGGCCATGTGGGTGAAGTGCTCATAGTGAAGGAATGGGGTAATAAGGAAGACAGCTCATGGATTACAGAACAGAGATTGGTGGTGGTGGTGGTTGGGTGGGATATGGTGATGGTGGTTGGGTGGGGTGGTTGGGTGGGGTGGTGATGGTGGTTGGGTAGGGTGGTGATGGTTGTTGGGTGGGGTGGTGATTGTTGTTGGGTGGGGTGGTGATGGTGGTTGGGTGGGATATGGTGATGGTGGTTGGGGGGGGATATGATGGTGGTTGGGTGGGGTAGTGATGATGGTTGGGTGGGGTAGTGATGATGAGAAGAAAGGAGCGTTTCAGACTTTACAAACAGAAGGTTGACCCATTTTGGAAAAACAAGAGGTCCGCCATATTTTCATCCGATATATATCCTGCCTCGCAAAATAGGCAGATACCTACAAACACCCCTGCAGACAATGATTCACTATTGACCAACCCGATGATGAGATGGCTGCAACAAACACGTCTTGCTCTAAAGTCCATTTAACTGCAGGGCTGAAACTTCCTAATCATTTTTATTCTACAGATGTCTATGGGAAGTATCCAACTCAGTTGATCTCAGGACAGCCAGCCATCGCGTTAGATATTTTTTGACCAACCTAGATTAGAGCTCATGTCAATGGGTCTTGTTTTCCTGTTTCCGAGTCAATGAAATCCCATTGATTGTAATTGAGCAGGACACATGAGAAGTTATCCCCCCACCCCCAACGAGGCACACATGTGCAGTACTACAGGAATGCAAAGGCGCATGTTTATGCCACAAATAATATATATCAAGATGAAGTTGAAGTGATGACTGTCATCAATGTCAGTTTAATAGGAATTCTATTCCTCACCGACACGCAAATCTCTATATCGCCTAGATGTCGTATGTGGTTTTCCAGAAAATACAACCCCGGAGCAATCAGACCCGTCCCCTGCAGAGCTCGCCATCTAATGTTCTACACATCAGAGGACCTGCAGGAAGATGATGATTTGTTGAGGTGACATGACCCCTCCTATCCTGTCCACAGACAGTGCTGGGACCCCCTTCTCTCTTCCCCCTCTCATAATAAGAAGACATTATTATTATTACCTCCTCCTCACTGAGTACCGGCATTCCAGACTGACACCCCCCTCCAGGAAGTTTATTTGAGCAGTGAGAGCCTCCTCTTTTCTCTGAGGCTACAACAAAATGGTCGCCCATATTACAGTGCTTAGTCAAGCTCTCGATATATCTTAATGTAAAGAAGGATTGACGTCTGTAGCATAGAAATAACCAAAAAAATACCATTTGATATAATACCTGCAATATTATTCTAAAGCATTCTTCGTCTGTGCTACAAAAAAATGGCCGCCTTTCTTCTGCTCAGGTGTTTTGGTGGAGATTTGCCCTCTAGCGTTAGTCTAAATGGAAAACAGTGGGCGCGGTTTTCCCTAATAAGGAAGTAACAGCACACCGTAGCTCAGTCCGCTCTCCGCCCAGCTGTGTCTGGGTTGCTATGGTGACGCGCGCGCGCAGTGGGGAGGTTAGTCAGTCAGGGAAGTTGGCCGCCATCTTGTGGAGATGTGAAATACTGACAGGAATTCCTTCTGCTGCCAGAAGTTATTCTCCATGTACACACTTTGGCGCTTGCATTATCAGCAGTTAACCTTTTAGCTGCCAGAGGAATTTTCAATTCCTTAATGCAATAACCCCTTAAGGACCGAGGCCTTTTTTTTTTTTTTAATGTTTAGTAATGACATCTGAAAACACATACTTATAGATAAAGATGAAGCCATCTCCCTTTACTTCCTGGAACAGTGGCACATGTGACTAGGACATGTGACCGTGCACATCAACTCAGGGGAGGAAAATGTAATCTCGGGAGATTACAGATGAGATTTCCCAGCAATGCTCTGCTGATGTAACCTTCCCAGGATGCAACGCCTGGGCACATCATGTCACTAGAGCCCAAGAGGACCAGGAAGTGGAAGAAAGGATGTTGGCTCAGAGATGACAGGCACTTAAGGATGCATCAGCAGTTCCTGGCTGTGTTTAAAATTTTCTGACACAATTCAGCTCCTGCTGCGGCCTCTCACTTTGTGCTACAAACTTACAGTGTTGCAGTCCAATAACTGGAGGTGAGGAGACCAAGGCTCCTTTCACACAAGTGGTCCAATTAGGTCAGTCTGTCACTGTTCCAGGCAGACCCGATCAGGTGCCCAATGCTAGTCTATGGGCAGCCGGGTGTCTATTTACAAACGGTTACCCCCGACTCCGGCCAGGTCTGGAAACACACACGGAACAGTGTTCCGTATCGATGGACCTGATCGTGCCGGATCAGGGGTAATCTCATGTCCATTTACATCCAATTCCCCATAGACCAACATGGGGTCCGGTCATTTCAGTTTTTTCCTCCATCGCAAAATGGACAGACACAGACGTCAAAGCGGTGACATCCAATCCGTACCGCTCCGATCGTCCAATCCGTACCGCTCCGATCATCCAATCCGTACCGCTATGATCATCCAATCCGTACCGCAATGATCAGGAGGGGATTCATGCACAGATCTCTTCCTGTTCAGCCCATGTGAAAGGGGCATTAGAAAATCTGTAAGAGACTTACCCGCAGATGGACTCCTGCTCAAAAACGTGCACGCACACAAGTATGCAATCCATTGCCCAAAGTTCCTGGAAAACGCGCTTTAGCAGATGAACGCGCACGTACGAGAGCGTTTATGTACAATAGTGGACGTACGTGAGCACGCAGGAACGTGCTCGTTAGTGTACAGGTGCATTAGCATGCACACTATCATATTTAAACAGGCATGAAGCCATGACCAAGTTGCTGAGTTGTCTTCAGCTAGTCCCTGTGTGCCCTGTACTCTGTTCCAGTATGCCGACGTCCTGTGTATGAACCCAGCTTGTGACCATTTTAGTCCGCCTCCTCCTCCTGATTCGGTACCTCTGCTCTCTGATCTCCTGTGTATGACTCTGGCTAACGTTTCCTGACCCTGCTCCTGATCTGTGATTCGGCACCTCAAGATCCGGCTCCCTGTGTATGACTCTGGCTTACGTTTCCTGACCCTGCTCCTGATCTGTGATTCGGCACCTCAAGATCCGGCTCCCTGTGTATGACTCTGGCTTACGTTTCCTGATCTGTGATTCGCCACCTCAAGATCCGGCTCCCTGTGTATGACCTCGGCTTCAACCTGACTTCCCTCCTGGTCTGCCACTTTGGTGGATCGCTCCATCAGTACCCTGAGCAACTATATCCAGCCAGTGCTCCGTAGGCCTCATACCTGTTGCCTGCTCTGGTTTTAAGAGGTTCCGGTGTCATCTAGGTCCTGCCGACACACCGGCTGGTCCAACGCATTCAAGCGCCTCCTCAAGAACCGGCCAGCCACCAGTATCGGCACCTGTGCTCCGCTCCGTCCTTACATCCCTGTCACTACTTCCAGAGGTGAGGGACGAGAGGTGCACGGGCAGTCCCCTTCTCAGCTGAGTCTCCAGTCAGGTACGTGATAAAATCCTTCCACCTGCCTGTAGGAGACTAATGGCATCATCTCCGCCTAAGGCAAGTCCCTGGACTAAAGCTCAAGATGGTTTCAAATCAATGATAAAAAGTTGAAGCTTTTTTTTGAAAAATGATACTGTTGCCGAATTTTGCGACATCAGGAATTTACTGTTGCCGTATATTGTGACATCAGGGATTTATTCACACAGTAAACTTACCGAAAGGTTCACTTTAACTTCCTGGTAAAAAAAAATAAAAAAATTCCTGGACCTAAAAACAGCAATATGGAAAACGTTCCAAGAGTTTCTTTCACAGCAAGACCTGCTCACTGGGCAACACGGATCCCAAAACTGTCCCAATACTTTTGGCAATATAGAGTATGTCAGCGTAACACTTCCAGGTATTTGTTACCTCACAGAGACATCACCGTACTCTCCCCGACAAGGCCTTCACCTGTTTCAGAACGAAGCAAAAAGCATCAGGCATCATACAGGAGGGTCAACATCTACTTCCCGGAGATGCCAGCTCAGAGATGACACAATCGTGGCGCACGTGCAGTTCATAAAATGTCCGACACAGATCAGTCACTGCTGCAGCCTCAAGCATTGCTACGGCGTTACTATGCACAGTCTGATCATTGGGAAAGGAGGAGGCCGAGGACATGCTTCTTCCTGCCGGCAGCAGAAGACATCATCTCACGGTAGACAAAGTGACCGGACTGAAGCTCGAGACAAATTTCGTAATGATAAAAGGTTGAGAGTTTTTTTGAAAAAACATTCAGTTGCCATATACGACGTCGGGGAATTTTTTTTTCCTTCACAGTAAAGTTACTGAAAGCTCCATTTTAATTTCCTGATAAAACATTTTCCCGGACTAGGAGCAGCAATATAGAAAATTAATATTATTATACAGGATTTATAGCGCGCCAACAGTTTGCGCAGCGCTTTACAATATAAGCAAGACATCACAATTCAAGACATGATGGTAAGGAGGACCCTGCCCCCGAGGGCTTACAATCTAAAAGGGGAGGGGCCAGTGAGACATGAGGAAGTAGCTGTGTGCGGAGTTGTGAGTTTCTTGATATGCAGCAAGACTTGCTCCTCGGGTGAGGCACATCCCACAGTCAGCTCATTAGTATGCCTTCAACCCAATATGAACTCTTTCGTGTCTTTTAAGATATAACTTCTTAAACAAAAACTTTGTCCTCATTTAAAACATTTGTATACTCCCGAATGAGATCTCTGATGTGTGGCTAAAATCCACCACGTACAAAACCGTCTTCCTCATTCAGAACTAGAAGAAGAAGAGGTCTCATCCTCGGTGTGAGTCCTTCTATGGACATTCAGATTGGATTTCACAGAAAAACACTTCCCGCATTCCGAACACGAAAACGGCTTCTCCCCCGTGTGACTTCTCAGGTGCTCGGTGAGAGCGTACCTTCGGCTGAAGCATTTCCCGCACTCCCAACACAAAAAAGGCTTTTTCCTGGAGGCCGGCTGGTGGGTTGGCGCGGGGCCTTTTGCTTCCGAAACGCGGGCCCCGACGTCATTGCCTGCGATTTTTCCATTGAAAAATGTAGTGGGATGTTTCTCCACGTTTGGCAATCTGTATTTTCCATCTGAAAGAGATGAAGAGGAATGACAATGACAAAGCAGACCTACAAGCAAAAATAAAGGCACCGTGTAGTTCAGCGATGTCAGAATAAAAAAAGAAAATGGTAAAAATGAACATATCAGAAGCACACACCAAATCCACTTCCTGGTGCCACGATGAAACCTCCTTCGGCGACTCCTTCAGGCACTTTAAGCGCGCAAAAAGTAACAATATCCACCGTTACCGATACTAGTATGGGTGCCGATACCGACTCACCCAAATGCTCCAATACCTTTCCCGATACTGGAACTTCCGGTCAGAGGGAGATTTCCGCTGACCGGCAGTTTCGCAAGGGAACATAAAGCCGGGAAGTTGGCTCAGAGCTGTTTGGACGGGAAGCCGGCTACCCAGCCAATCAGCGTCGACCCGGGCAAACAAATCTGATAATATGGCGACACGACCCCCACCCTGCAGACAAATCATTCCCCTCACATAGATCCTTAGCAGCAGTCATTACCGTACTGGTCCCTCGGCCAGCTGGGGAAACACCGCTCTCCCGGATTTGCCCACGTCTCCTGTGTTCACAGCGCCCGTGTGATTGGCCCTCGGCCTGCTACTGCGCATGGGGTACAGGACACGTTTGACCTTTGTCATTGCCAACAAAGGATATATAACAAAGTATTGAGATGACCTTTTGATATTAACCAAATACTTATTTTCCACCATAATTTGCAAATAAATTAGTTCCAAATCAGCCAATGTGATTTGTGTGGATTTGTTTTCTCATTTTGTCTCTCATAGTTGAGGTCTACCTATGATGCCAATTACAGGTCTCTCTCATCTTTTTAAGTGGGAGAACTTGCACAATTGGTGGCTGACTAAATACTTTTTTTGACCCACTGTATATATGTGGTGTTTGTTTAATGAGCCCCTAAATGCCCATAAAAACAAAGTGTGACTCTTTTATGGGTCTATTGTTTAATACTCACCCATGCCGATCTCTAGGACAGCTTTCTCTTTTGTGTTCACATGTCCTTCTTCCTCCGCCTCAGCTTTGAGGTTTCTCGGAATGGTGTGTCCGGGATCTGCGAATAGTTGAGAATGAAGCTTACTGAGATGTATCAGAATAAGTCCTGGCTGGTAACACACAATGACATGATGCGAGGAGGAGAGCCGGAGTCTAATAGAGGCTGATGGCTCCTGACTCCCCCCACTAGACACATTCCGTCCCCCCATTACTGTCTACTGACAGAGGAGGGAGAAGAAGAGGTTGTTGTAGTTACTGAACAAGGAGAATCTGGGAGTGTTCTCTGGATTCAGTGTTTATTCCTCACCTGTGCTGACCTCTGGAAGTTTCTCCTCTTTAATCTTCATGCCCCCTTCTTTCTCCTCCTCAGCTTTGACATCACTCTGAGTGTCTGTGAATAAAGATGAGAGTGAAGCCCCCTGTACTGAGATGTATGAGAGACCCCAGAGAGTGTGTGTGGGGGGAGACTGGTCACGTCTCTGGGATGGTAACACACAATGACATGATGTGATGTGATGATGAGACCCGGAGTCTAATAGATGCTGATGGATCCTGACTCCCCCCACTAGACACATTCCGTCCCCCCATTACTGTCTACTGACAGAGGAGGGGGGAGAAGAAGAGATTGTTGTAGTGACTGAACAAGGAGAATCTGGGAGTCTTCTCTGGATTTAGTGTTTATTCCTCACCTGTGCTGATCTCTGGAGAATGTTCCTCCTCCTTCTTACAAGGTTTATCACCCCTCTCAAACTGTTCTTCTGCCTCCTCTTTCACTTCAGTTTTAATGTGATTCAACTTTTTATACTGATTATTACAAAAATAAAAAAAAAACACATTGTATTGTCTAAAAGTAAGATTAACAGAATCTACAAAAAAGATACAATATATCATTCTAAAAGAACCTCAACTTCATCTACCTGATAACAGCGTAGGATCTTGTGATGTTCCTGTGAGGAATCCCGGGAATATAGAGGACGGGTCTGAGGGATCTCCTGATGTTCCTGTGTGGAATCCCGGGAATACAGAGGACGGGGACATCTCTCTGGGGTATTCCTGTTCCTGGATCCATCTGTAGGAAACACACACACTGACTGAATACATTGTTTCTATGTCTTTATATCAGAGGATGTGTGTATCTAGGGGGATCCTCAATACTCAAGAAATGAAAGTCTCCTCTTACCCGGTGATGTGAGGGGCGGCCGGTTCTCCATCATGACGTCCTTGTACAGATCCTTGTTCTCCTTCTAAATGCTCTTACTTTTTTTACTTCAAAATGTAAAATCACAGATGGACTGTAGGGTTCACATTGTCATAAATCAATAAAAAAAAAAAAATTGCATCTGGAATACAAAAGTAAAAATATATATAGTAGCATAATAGGCCAGTATAAAACATGTCTCACCTACCAGAGCCTTCAGCCCGAGTTTGCAGAGTGGAGAAGCAGACCAAGCCCTAGGATACTTCAGAAAACAGCCTCTTTTTATTTTATAGTGATTGTATAGCCACAACATGTGATGCAGATGTAGGTTATTGATGGACTACTAATAGCATAAGCTATCCAGTGCAGAGGGGGCAAGTTATGTACAGGGGGATACTGGCTGTTGGACACAGGGGGCATGTCAGAGTACATATGTGTCTACTCTGGGTCCTACACATAAGTGCAACAGCAAAAAGTTTCCCAGCACGCTCACCAGCCGGCATGCAAAAAAAACTTGTCGCACCGCGAAGGTTAAAAACAGAGGTTTAGATACACGTCTTCTGCAGAATCTGTGAATGCCGCACAGCCGCGTCAAGGCACCTCTATATAGTGCGGTCCTAACTCTAACCTATGAGAGTCTCCATCTTGGAGCACATGGGGGCAGAAGATAAAATTGGGTGCAGGTTTGTCAGGAGGAAGCCCAACCTCTCTTAAAAGGCACAGGTACGCACAAGGGATCCCACACATCACAACGGCAGCTGAGACCCCCCCCCATGCGTCACTGCATCAAATCAGTCCAGCAAAACAAATGGCAAACGCACTCATCAACTTGTTACCAGCTTTACAGCGCACTTGGAAGGACTTTATACAGTAATAGCAAAAAGTTTCCCAGCACACTCACCAGCCAGCATGCAAAAAACTTGCTGTTGTACTGTATGAGGCCCTTCCATGTGTACAGCGCTGTAAAGCTGGTAATAAGTTGATGAGTGCATTTGCCATTTGTTTTTCTTCACATAAGTGGTCACTGTCTGGGCTCCTGACCCCTGCACACTGCTTTACATATTACAGACTCCTGCACTAAGTTTAATATACTACTGACCCCTGCGATCCACATTACTTACTACTGACTTCCTGCAATCTGTGTTAATTATTCTGGACTGCTGCACTCTGCATTGGATACCACTCACCTCTGCACTTTGTGTTACATACTACTCACCCCTGCATTTCTTACTACTGACCTCCTGCACTCTGCAATACATAGTACTCACCCCTGCACTCTGTGTTACATACTACTCACCCCTGCACTTTGCATTACATACTACTCACCCCTGCACTCTGAGCTACATACTACTCACCCCTGCACTCTGAGCTACATACTACTCACCCCTGCACTACACACTACTCACCCCTGCACTACACATTACTCACCTCTGCGCTACATACTACTCACCCCTGCATTCTGCGGTACACACTACTCACCTCTGCACTACACACTACTCACCTCTGCACTACACACTACATACTACTCACCCCTGCATTCTGCGGTACAACTACTCACCTCTGCACTCTGCGCTACGCACTACTCACCCCTGCACTACACACTACTCACCTCTGCACTCTGCGCTACATACTACTCACCCCTGCATTCTGCGGTACACACTACTCACCTCTGCAATCTGCACTACTCACCCCTGCACTACACACTACTCACCTCTGCACTCTGCGGTACACACTACTCACCTCTGCGGTACACACTACTCACCTCTGCACTCTGCGGTACACACTACTCACCTCTGCACTCTGCGGGACACACTACTCACCTCTGCACTCTGCGGTACACACTACTCACCCCTGCACTCTGCGGTACACACTACTCACCCCTGCACTCCATGTTAATTACTCTGGCCCCCTGCACTGTGCATTGTATAGTACTGACCCCTGCATTCTGCATTACTTATTCCTGTCCCCTGCACTCTCCTAACCAAAATGTATACTACAAAATGGTCTCCCTCCTTCCCTCCTGCTCTATTTTATACCCCACCAGACTAAACAAGCCTTCTGGGGGGGGGGGGGGGTAACACTTGCCAAAAAC